ATTTTAGAGCACATTACCGTGGTTGCATTTTTTATAGGGTGGTAAGCGCTGAGTAGGGTGTATGTGCCGCAATGGCTTCTCTGTCAGGTTCTTTGTTTACCGGGACGACAGGTGAGGGAGATGGCAACAGCGGTGACCATGGCCCCTCCTGAATGGATCTGTCCATCGAGCTCACGGAGGGCGTCCTTCTCTCTCAGGGATGCAAGCGGGACAGGCTAGCGTTTTTTTTTCGGATTTGCTAAAATGATGTCGCCATATTTTATGGCTGATTACAGTCGAATTTCTGACCGTCAGATGTTGTTCGGTCTACTCAGGTCCTTAGCATCTCTCGGCTGTCATTACACGATTAATTAAAACTTAACATGCTTCATTAGTTTAAGCTTTTTATGGTTCTACTCATATGTATCTGTATAGTATATAAATATATATAATCTACAATGCAAAATATAGACATTGTATTGCACTTACATTGTAATTACATTGAACTTACATATGTAATTTAGAGACTTATATATGTAATTTTGAAACTTACATTGTAAATACACTAAAATTACATATGTAATTTAGAAAATTACAATGTAAATACATGGTGACTATTTTTTGGTAAAAAATATTGCGTCATAAATATAGCTACTCCCTTTTTTTTGCCCGTTTATTTTACTTCTAGTTTATTTTTATTTCTAAATGTTATACTACCATGTAAAAAATGAGCTAGCAAATAAAATTTTATGCGGGTAGTGCCTACTCTGTGCTCCGCGCGCACGCTTCACCTCGACCTCTATAGCAAGGGGATAGGGAGGAGAAAAAAACAAACAGAGTGGAGAGGAGGGGATGACAGATGGATCTCATCGTATGTTTTGGATGAATGATTTACTTATTGGTCCCACTTTATTTTTAATTAATTTTTACTAACTATAATGTCACTTAAGCATCATATACACTCTATGTAACATAGATGAAAACTATGTTAACCTGTCACATATGCGACGTGTGGGATGAAACCGTCGTTCAAACAACTTACGAGGCATAATAAGTCGGTTTTAATAGTTTTGGAAGCCTCTATATGTTATTTTTTTAATTGGGAACTTAGCCCATCAAATAGGGAACTTAGCTCTCAAATAACCCAATCTAAACGAACCCTATGAGAATAACCCAATCTGAACGAATCCTATGAGCATCTTCGAAGACTAGACCGGCAAATCCTGGAGAGATTGACGAAGTCACCACTGGCGCCTCGCTGTCGACGGGTACGTCACCTACCACTAGAAGCACAACGCCGATAAATCCTGAAAAATTCGCGCCTCGCTGCCGACGGCTGCGACGCCGACGGGATACGAGCCCGACGCCGCTCCCGCCATTAATTGGCACGTACGCTGGGGCTCGATCGATCGCTAGCTTGGTTGGTGTGCGTGTGTTCGATCACTTGGAGGCGAAGAGCATCGCGTAGTGTCGCCTGTATATTTGTAGAGGAATTACTAATTAAGAAGAAGATTAGCCTCCTGCCTTAGGATTTACTAGTTCGTCTCCGTTTCGGATTAGTTGATCCGACGACCGATCGGACGAATCAGGTGGGAAATCGGAATAATTAAGACGGCGAACGAATTTTGCCAGTTTCGGGAAGTACGTACGTTGTGAGAGACTCCGAGAGGTTTATATTAATTAAGCTGCACTATGATTTCTAACCTATTTAATTCAGCACATGTACAATCTATTAACTTATTCTTTATCTATTATATCATAAAAATTGAAGATGATTTTATTGGATTTTTAATTTATATGGCTTATACTAATATTTATATATTATGATATTTATTTAACTCAATGTGGAAAGTATTTATGCTACATGTGACAAGGAATTATTGATGCGGAATTTAACTCGAGGAATTAATACTCAAAGTGCCAAGGACGGCTGTACTGGAATACACTAGAGGAATTAATAGAGATATACTCTACTGGAATTTATATATGTTTATGCCCGGGTACAGTACAGGGTGAAATGGCTGGGTTTGTTTACACGATTGGCTCGGTAAGCTGTTGACCCACATGATTATATTAGAATTAATCGCATATACAATGTAATCATGGCATATGACTCACACATGCGTGCTTGTAACTTGTAGATTCATTTAACTGAATTGTCTGATCGTGGCCGGTGACATGGTTCAGGAGTCTAACGGTGTACTGGAAACAAATATAGTGTATATCTAGAAGTGGAGTCTATAAATAGGTCCCTACCCTCTAGCCTCAATATGCATTGTGAGTGGCACCACGGAAAAGGCAAAGGGATAGAGGGTAGACCGGATAGACCCACCTAAACCTAATAGATTTTGTACTCAAAATCTCTCTTCGTCCATTGTCCCCCACAATTTGGATCATTTCTTATTTCTGTTATTTACCAGCGATGCAACTATACAGTTTAGATCCGTACAATACAAGATCGATCTTTTCTTACGCGCGGCAGGCAAAAGTTTGTTTCCTTTTTCTTCACAAAGGAAAATGCCAGTGATAAGAAACATGACAGTCAAAATAAAGGAAATTAAAATTTACCTTCAAAATTCTTGGCTATTTAACTTTTTTCTTGTTATTTTTATCTATTTTTTCTAGTATAAATCGATTGCTTTCCTTAGGTGCAACCTTTAAAAATTTAATCCCAAAAATTTTTCACCTCTGATACTTATACGTATCATCACTCAATAACTTGGCATGTATCATCATGGGTCCCTGCAAATAATATCATCGATGCACTGATGCCTGATAGGAATCATCACTGGTACCTATAGATAATACCTGGTAGGTATCATCACCAATACCTGATAGGTATCATTACCAATATCATCACCCACCAATATCTAGCAGGTATCAACACTCATGGATATCTAGTAAGTATCATTATCGGTACATGCAAGTATCATTGATTCATACAAGTATCATCAACGTATTGGAACCTAATAAATATCATCGCTGATACCTATTAGTTATCATCACAGGTACATGCAAGTATTATCATGGGTACCTGTAAAAAAAATCATCTATTTACTGGTAGGTATCATCACCAATACCTATATGTATCATCTGTCACCGACACTTGGCGGATATCATGACTCACTAATACATAGCAAGTATCAACATTCAATGATATCCAACAGATATCATCAGCAATACTTATGAGTATAATTGGTACCTACAAATATCATCAACGTGTTGGTACATGATAACTATCATTGCTGATACCTAGTTGGTGTCATCATGGTACATGCAGGTATCATAGCTGGTATTATTAGGTGGGTTTAATAATTATTTTCTTTACTAACATGGGAAGATTTTACCAGACTGACAAGGATCATGCTATATTTGTTTTATGTAACTCACCTAAAAAATAACTAGTTTTCTTGTATATTTGTATACTTGAGTCAGTTTGGCTAACTTTTGGAAAGGATAAGTGGTCATGTTGATGTGCAGCATGCACGACATTGTACATCTCACACGTGGGCCTAGCACAAACCAGATAGAAAGTTATAGCTAATGCGTGAGGCTCACCCTATATATCAAGCACTATGGTTTTATGCTCCCTGCCACCCTACCATGTTGAGTTTGCGGGAGGAGAAATAGGTCTGCATGTCACGCACATGGTATGGATGCGAGCATACTGTTCCATGATTTGGAATGAGATACCGATATCTAGCAGCCTCTTTACATTTACAACAATATAAAAAAAATTGTGTCCCGTAGGCCATAGCGCACAAGTCAATATATCACATGAGCCACAGATCAGCCTAATAGCCTATCAGCCAATCTTCGAAAAGGAAAAATAATTATCGATCCAGGGTGACCAGGGGCTCACAGATCACTGCATACGCTGTGGCCTGGGATATGTGTGCCTATAGGCCGACCCAATTGGTAGGCCCCATTAGATTGGAATGTGAGACATACAGGCCTTGCGGCCCAATAACAGTCTATCATGTGAATATGCTGTCAATTTTAGTTCGAAATGCTAGCCTACCAAAGGGAATTGGACCTTACTTCCGGGCTTTGAAACAAGGCCAAAAGGTAGAATCAACTAGGTGGATGGGATCTAGCCGGCCTTGACGTACTATTTTTGCCTTAATTTTTTTTTTTGTAAATTTCATAAGTTTTAGCCAAGTCCTCATCAGTTTCTTAGATGTATTTCCGAATAGGGTCCATTTCATAAATAAATCCTAGAGAAGGGAATGGAATTCACGCAACTAGAGGCCAGATCTATTTGTGGAGTAGTTTCATGTGTTGGTGTTGTAGAGAGAGAGAGTATGTGTGTGTGTGTTTCACCGATTTTCAATGAACAAAACTTTGCCTTATTTTTTCTTTCTTTCTTGATGTTAAAAGTTTTACCAAGAGGCAAACACCCTGTGAACTGTTTTCTATATGCTGCATGTGTTCGACTTTATTTTCATATTGAAATGTTCTCTATATTGGTTGAGGATAAACTAGTTTCTAACTTAGGCCCCGCTCATTTCTTTGTTTGGCAGTTGCAACTTCATTGTTTTCCATTAGCACACTATCCAAACTGTTTAGCAAAAACTTTTTATATCAAAGTTTTTTTTTGAAAAATCAAATAAACCCATTTTTAAGTTTATATTAATTAATACTCCATTAATCATGCGCTAATAGCTTGCCTCGTTTTGCATGCCACAAAATTTCCAAACCAAACCGAAGGTTTGAATGCACCCTTTAGGTCATTAGGTGCCAGACTGACATTATTATGTGCTCAGTGGCTTCAATCTTTGTTTGGTGTTTAAATCATACATACATATTGTTCTGTGTGCTTATGCTTAATGTACACAACACAAGATATGAAATGTATACTAATCGATCAAGTTGAAATGCTTAATGTGCATAACACATTTCATAACAACAGGTCACATTTAGCACACTGATATGAAATGTGTACTAACCGATCGAGTTGGGACTCTTAAGGATGGTATACTTCATTAATTATTCTTGAAACACAAAAAACTCGAAGCACACCCGAGGGCTCATCCTCGAAAAACACATGTTCTTATGACTGATTACCGATGAGTTTACAATGCCTATACAAACGATCAACAGGCGTGTATGGCCATTCTATACCTGAGGGTCATCCTTCTGTAGACTGTTGTACAACAATTGTTAGTGTGACGAATACAATTACAATGGCTGCACTAAGACCTATATTGTTCATTTGCTGAATTGAGTTACATCAGCATCACAAGGTCACAAGGTACTGGCGTTCACTACATCTGACAAGTCATTTTCTTAGAGATGATTCAGACACTTGTTAGGGGTCAACACTCCATTTTGGGGGCTATCCATGCTTTGCTTAGCTCATTTATATGTATTCTTTAATTTTGGCCTCTTCAATGACCTATTCTTCTTCTCTTGCTGTTGCAGGCTTTTTGCCTCTTGAAGCCTTGCTAGCAGGAAAATGAAGCCTTGCGTAAAGCGGTCTTGGTGCCCTCAATTCCCTATCAAAGCCCCTGACGCACACAAATCCTGCGATTGGATTTGAGAGAATTAATCACCATGTATAAGATTCCTAGCTCAGAAAGTACAACTTTCTAGTTACTAAATATTAAGGCTGTTGAATTCTGGTAGCATCTTTAAGAAGCTATTAATATTAATTGGGGTGACAAAGCTACGGCAAAATTGTATGATAGATTTGCCTGCAGAACCATGCACAGAAACATAGTACTCCATAGGGAGTTTATTGCCTATAAAAAAGTTATTTTCTTGCTATTTTCCCCAAGGGGAAACTTTGGCCAATTTTGTTATCACTACAAACTATAAAAGTATAATACGACAACAACTTGCTTTTTTCTTTAAATCTCGCCTTATGCTACCAAGGTGGTGGTTTTTATTTAGTTGGATACAACAATGCTGAGGAATCTGATGATAAAGGTGGACCAAAAATGCCTGATGCACTCTTGTATACACATGATGATGGATCACAATTGGCTCAATCCGAACGGTGATGGGTCTCGCATTATCCCTTCCTCTAATTTTCCTTCCTAATCTCCCCTTGCTGAAGGTGATGGCAAAAGGTCTTGGGCACTATCTCAAGCATCTCACCCTTCCCATATCCTAACCCACATTTTATAATCGGAATCGGGCCGGTCACAGATAGTATCGAATATGGATACAAACTCGGATAATGTTGGGCAAAAATACGGAACAAATACATACCAAAATGGATACATACACTATCGGTTACGAATATTTATTCGGATATCAAGTCGAAGCAACAATATTATATATCACATAGACAATAACCATTTGACAATGCCATATATCCATAATACGATTATATTAGGCCCTTAGGACCTTAGAAAAAAAATAGGGTATAATACATCATAGTAGAACCAATACATAGTACCAAAAAGTGCCTCACAAAAACATAATACGGGTAATATCCGCATAATTATCCAGGTAAAACCCGAATTTTTTATCGGATAATCCGTATCCATCGGATACAATATATGTTCCCGAACCCGATCTCATATCCACCAAAAAAGACCCGTATTCGGACCCGATATCCGTGAAAAGTCCCGGGTACCCGAATTTGTCCCGAAATAATGTGGCCGGGCGGGCGGGCGGGAAATATCCGCCCCGTTTTCATCCCTACTCATTGGGTCTTTGCTAGTTTGCCTCAATGAGTGTTAGGGCATTTGGGCTTTTTTAAAAAAAAAAACTAACAACTGGTGACATTGACACATTGTAGAACAAGTGAACAACAACAAAGTTGTGGGTGCAAAAGATCAATGATGTCGATGACACATATTGTAGAACCATAGCGAACTCGATTGTGTAGTATTTTTTTTAAAATTTGTCCGAATCTCTATGTGGTCTTTGTGGTGTGATACTTATGGAAATTTATGTCAAGCTCAGCCAACGTGAGGAGATCAAATAGGATGACAAAGGACATGCTACAAGAAGAATCATTTGAATGTAAGCGAGGCTGATTTTGATAGGCTCCATAAAAAATGAAAGGCCAGGGTAGTATGAGAACTGAGGTTGCAATGCTGGTGGTCAGCCATAGTGATGGGAGACAAAAGGAAGACCAAAACGATTGTGGTGCATTGTCAATGACAAGCCTAAATAAGGGCTATGGATAACAAGTTAGAGGATAGATAATGCTATAACCCAAGAAGGAAACCTTCAACTAAACTTGTTTTAGTTCAAGTTCATGAATATATAAAAAAAAGGAGGGAAGATAGGTCAAGTAGCTACAAGAGTGTTAGTCCTACCCACTCTCACTTTGGCTTATGATTATCTTACGTATGAAACATATTTAGCCCTTCAGATGTATAATAATACAGTGCATTGACTGCATAGTTATTAAACCCAGACCGGTGTATGAACTGGTTAAGCTCTCGGTTCACCAGTCTACTAGTTCGACCGGCGTTCTAGGTGGTCCAACCAAGATTGTTAAATAATATAAAATATATGTGTGATTTCGACCACAAACGGTGGGCTGGCAGGATGACCAGGGGTTGAATCCTGCCCCCGCTACCTTCTTTGGACTTTCTATGAGCACGTGTTCATGAATAAATTGAGCCATCGCTCAGCCCGTAAAGAAGCGCACTTTATCCCTCTTCCAATCTAACCTGCCCTGGTTATTGCCCAGTTCATCTAAAAACCATCTAGTTCATCCAGTCTAAAGTTGTTCAATTACATCTCTGACTTTTAAAGGAAACCATATTGGGTTGAGATTTTATTCTGGTTTTCCAGTTAAACCATTGATCCTGTCCGGTTTTAATAACTGTGATTGATTGCTTCCAAAACTATAATATAATATGTGTAGATCCATAAAACCCTAGCCATATGTATTTTGTGGCCTATCATGCCCTTCTACCAATTGTTTGAACATAAAGAGTATCATACATCCTTCATCAAAATTTAACTAGGCTTATAGAGAAGAGTGGATGGACAAAGAGAGAAGGTCAATTTATCAGGCCCAACCTTGAGCCCAATTATTATGCTTTGATATGCTCACCTTTGACAGATTGAGTCCACTACAACATCCTAGTCCATGCACACTACATTGCTACTTTCCCTAGGTGCAGAGAATCAAGGACAAGACAGAGTTCAAGGGGTTGTTTGTTCTTACCTAACATTGCCATAACCCACTTTAGTCAAATTTGGATTGCCACACCTTTTGTGGTCTACAAATTGTAAGCTACATGTGGGACAAGATGCTAAGAAAGTGTGGCAAGTCACAACTATGGCAATAAACTAAACACAAGGATAAGGAGGTGTGGCAAGAGGTAAAAGAGAACTTCTCTATAGACCTATCTTATGTGTGCACTTCACATGTACCCCATGCTTAGTGTGTGAAACCATGTGGAAGAGAAATGCCCAGGGGTCTTCCGGCTAGCTCCACAAGGTGGTGGGCTTGCCGGCCTAGGTTCAAAGGCTCACCCCTTCTATTTATTTGATATTAGGTTCTTCCCAAATATTCACTTTTTTTGTGTGCAGGGCTTGCAGTCTATGTGGTTATTTAAATCTAGCAAAACTATCGATAGCTAAATTGCATATTGTTGCTCCCATGTATTATTGGTGACATTGGGTATAAGGTGGTTTAAAAGTGCACCAAAGGTAATGGAGACAAAGAAACAACAACGAAGGCAAAGAGACATGGTTGAATGTTGTTGATAAAGAATTGGAAGTTTATTTGGCTCTGTTCGGCTCAAAGGGATGGGAATTAATCCCTCATCACTAACGCAAAATGGTGTGACTCATTAGCTATGATTAATTAAGTATTGGCTATTATTTTTGAAAAATGAATTAATATGATTTTTTTAAATAACTTTCCTATGTAATATATATATATATATATGAAAAAAAAACACCGTTTAGTAGTTTGGGAAGCATGCGCGCAGAAAACAAGGAAGTAGAGTTGGGAAGATGCACCAAAGAACACAACTTTAATGGATGAGGCAACAACATGCGATTGTGATACTTGTTGCACTATTTTTGTATTTGAGAGATTTAAAGTACATTATTGAAGTTTAGAGTGAAAATGATTATGGCAAAAATTGAAGGACCAATTTATTAGGAAAAAAAATGCTTATGCTCCTTGACTTTGTTTTTATAATTTAGTTAAGCTGCCCTTTCATTTCGGCAGTTATTGACTTAAACTATTGTGATTTCTCATCAGAGGCCAATAAGGCTGAGTTCGGGAGGTGGAATTTGGAACTCCACTAACTCCATCTCCCCGCACGGAAAACAATATTGCTCATTAACACGTGATTGATTAAGTATTAGTCTAACACACTTAAAAAATGGATTAATATGATTTTTTAAAGCAACTTTCCTATAGAAAACTTTTGTAAAAAACACATTGTGTAGTAGTTTGAAAAGCATGCGCGCGGAAAAGACGAAGGAGAGCTGGGAAAGAAGGGGGAAGAACAAAGCCTAAGTGTGGTTGTTACACTCTCCCTACTTCACCATGCATGAGAGTAGTAAAGAAATTGATTTTGCGAAATTACAGTAGATGACAATGTAGATCTTGCAAGTGATATGCAACAATCATGTTGGTTTGGTACCAAATCGTCTAGTTGTCTATGAAAATAAACGTACACAATTCTCACATAGTGAAGATCATGATAACCTCAAAAGTGCTAGCCTAACCCTTGAATTGTGTGTGTCACTAAGAGAAGAAGGTGATGACTTGTGGTCAGGACTTAGGACAATAGCTTCGATAAGATATTTGGAGTAGTAGGAAATATTCTTTGGTGTTGCTAAAACAATTGGTACTCATTTGATCTATAACAAAAAAAATTGGCATCCTTTGGCACCAAGCGAAATACTAACCTACATACTTATGCCAAAAATTTTGACAACATTCCAAACTTGCACCTTTACTAATCTTGCCATCGCAAAAATGGCAAAAAAGAGAGAGAGACAAGAAGGCAAGGCTAACAATGGCATTGATCCAAAAAGGCCCTAGATTGTCAAGGAGCTAACGGGATCCTTAAGTAGCTAGGGGACCAAATTTAGTGAGGTTTCATTGCTTAGTACTACAAGTGTCTCTTCCCTTATCCAAATAGTTTAATCTTGGACAACCAGCACGAAATATAATGTCATGCAGCACTATGGTAGGACTTAGAATAATCAAAGCTTATTGAAACTTCTTTTCAAAAAAAAAAAGCTTATTGAAACATGAAATTAACCTCCAATACAGTTCTCATAATAAAAATAGCACTATATATAACCACTATTATAGTAATTAGTGAAGTGCATAACTAATTGCTTGCAGCATATATTATAAAATAAACCTACATTGAAAAAAGGAATGTGCGTAAGCAAATAAAGTGTGTACCTCTCCAAAAGCAATGTTGTATCTCTTCAGTTGACAAACCTGCATTGAATTAATCCTCTTAGATAGAGAATATATGTCTTAGAAGAGAAAATAGCAAAATCAGATAAGCTACTATTTTTGGAATATTTGCACTCTACTTAAAAAGCTTCTACTAGTGGCAAAAGGCGAAAAGGCAGAGGGAGTTGTTCTTCCATTATCTAAAAAGGGTACACTAGGTCATATTAATGGTGAACTTGATATGCAGGGCTTGCAGTTCATAGGTAATAACCTTATTTAGCTAACCGATTTCCTTGTTCTGCCAGAGGCTCAGAGATTGTATGGCTGTGTTATTGCTGCCAATTAATGGTTTAACCAAGAATACGAACCTATGCTATTGTTTTATTGTAGTCTTATGGTGTAATGCTTTCAAATCTGACATCCATATCAGAGAACAAATTTACACAATTTGGTCATGCAAAGTCAAAACACTTGGTTAATTACAGGAACAATACCTCGAAATATTGTAGGAACTGAGGTTCCAAAGTAAACTGTTCGTCTTGGGAGGTTCCATATCCAACTTCGTGGAACATCAAATGGATTTTTGCTGGAGTAGTGATCAGCAAATACCTACAACACAATAGATGCATTCCATATAAATCTGATGGATTAAAAATATTTACTTCCGCTGGTAAAATATATTTGACGTTGGGAGGATTGAGTTTAGCTCTTCTAACGTCAAATATAAATGATTGGAGGGAGTACTTTCTATTACTGCGAAAAAAAAAGAGACTTTTGAACTTCTAATTGCTGGCTAAGACAAGTATTTAAGAGAGCTAATGCGCACCTCATTAACTTGAAAATATGTCCCGTTAAGTGGAAAGCTTCCTCTCATCGCTGTTCGGCATGGTATCTGCTCGAATTCAATTGAATAACGAAAACAATGGCTTATTAATATGTACACAACACATAAATATTTATGGGACTCTCAAGAGGGAACTTGCCAGAAGGGTTCCTCTAACTTTCTGAGACTGCATTTCCCGTGTACTGTTGCAGCTAAAGCATGTCGAACTCTCACAGAGTTTACCAGTTTCCTTGGAGTTGCAAAATGTCTTGGGTGCATCAGTTGATTGTGCCGTTTCACCTGTTGAAATTTTTATCATCAGTATAACCTGTATAAGAGTAAAGGTTGGATGGGAGCACATGAGCTTGCCTGGGGTCCATATAGAAAGAAGATATGGGGAGGGATCATCTGGTTCTCTTTGATCAAACTGCACAGACACAAGCAGAGCTAAACTTATTGCTTGCATTAATCTAGAAATATGGCAATATTTGGCTATGTATTTGGACAAGTACATAGCGAGAAGTTGTTATATTTTGGGACATAGGTGGTAGTTTATATCTGCTACAAACTTACTCCTTCCAGTAGAGGGTGTGAGTCTGGCAACTCATAACTGCAAACAAATGAAATAAAACATATTAGAAAGATAGATGATGGAAACATTAAAAAAACTTTATTTACTCTCAATGGCATTGATTTTGTTCAAGATAAAGCCGTACACTTGGTGTTCAGTCCTCAAGCGGTTGACATTCTTGAGCTTGGAAGTTGGAACTGAAGCAGCTTGAGGGCTTATGGCAACCAGTGCATTCGACATGTCAGCATCTTCGATCTCGATATTGTTTGCATGAATATAACTTTTCAAGTTCTGTGCAAACTCCTCGACATTAAGATTTATAATAGGAATTTCATCGGGATCTTCACTGAAAAAATCCTCTATTTCGGCCTCTCTTGCCTCTGCAATGTCAGGTTCAGGTTCTGGGGTTGATGGTTCTTCGATGATAGGTTGTTATTGGTCACCATAAACATGCCCAGGATGGTTCGTGTTCCAGCTAAGTTGGCCCATAGGCCTTGAATGTGTGTATTTTTTGTGACTGCTCTCTGCATCATTTGGATATTCTGGTTTAGAAGTCTTCTTTGAAGGTCCAGGAAGAGCGAGCCGTGCACTGTATTCAAACACATCGTTATAATTTTTTTTGAAAAAAGTCCACACAGAACACTTTTCTTTCTACCATACCAAGTAATAGAAATGACATTAATATGAAGTGCTTTTAACATTTTTTTTTTGCAAAAAAGAAGTGCATTAGCTGACCAAAGCTTAAATGGTAGAAAATTGAGACTCACTTGCAGAAATGCGATTAAAGTTTGACAACTAGAAGATAGCAATAGCTATATTAATTAGGATATCAAGCATTTCAAAGTATTACCTTGCAAATGCACTAGCAAAATGCTTACACTCAGCTCTCATTGGACATGAATTGCAATTAGGCTTGCTTTTTGAACAGAAAACCTGAAATCAGAAGAAAGCAAACCAGCTAGTCAGTTCACTACAAATCTGGTCCTTGATTGATCTTTAAATATATTTTGTGTTTCTCACCTTTCCAAAAGTTATCATTTGGTAGTGAAGCTCATACCTGCATAATGAGAGAAGTTACTAAATGTTCCCAGTTAACGAATATTTATATTCCAAAGTACTACTTGAATTTAACTTACAATATCAATTGATCAAGCTTGCACAATCGAGGCCAAATATATTTCTGTATGTGTTCCAGCAAGGGGTACCTTCAAGAATAAAATATCAGACTTAGATGTCACAAACATGGTTTGATATACGTAGGGGGTGTTTGGTTCATGGCCACACTTTGCCACACCACTTTTTTAGCTGTCATAGTTTATTATGCATGTGTTTGGTTCACTACCACAGATGTGGCTTGCACACTTTCAATAGTATGTCCCATATGTCATATACACATCTTTCAGCCTAACTTTGTCACACTTTGTGGCCAGCAATTTGTTCATCACACTTTTGTGGCTTCCACAACTTGCCTAACCATATTTCATTTGAGGCAAAGTGTGGCTGGCAACCTAACACCCCCTGTAGTCTTTATATGACTCTATGCTCATAAAACCAACTCAAGAAAATAAAGACACATACAGTTCCAACAAGTGTAGTTGAAGAGACTCCGGAAGGGGTTGAAGTGGCACCCATCCAAGCCTCACGCATATCCGTGCAACATTTGTGTCCACCTAGGAAATTAGCACACAAAGATTCAATCGAAATACATTTGAAATTTTAACTATGAGAGTAAGGAACAATGAAAATTTACTGGAAAAGCCATTTGGTGTAGTGTCAAAAGACGAACACACTCCGTGCTTTTTAGTCCAAGCCCTCTAATGCTCAGAAGGAAGCCCCTAAAAGAGTCAGAAAAGGTTCTAGAAAGGTCAAAAAAAGGCTCTGGAATGTATTGGTTCTTTTAAGCATAAAAGCCGACGAGGAAGAACTTTTTCAATTTTCACCTCCTAGATCATACTGTATCATCAATGACATGGCAAATTTTAGATTCCAAGAGTGGCAACAATTAGAAAATTTAAATAAAAGATAAAAAAAATTCTTGTAGCTGTGATCAAGATACTACTTATTAAGCTCTTCAGGCTTGTTTGAGAAAGGAAATATGGGTGCATGAAAATTAATAGCTTGATACTTTGAGTATTTGCCAGTGTATTCATTAGACTTACTTTAGCTTGATACTTTGAGTATTTGCCAGTGTATTCATTAGACTTACTTTGCTTTGTCGGGTTCAATATCTCTTAGCCATTCAAGATCAATGCTTCCATGGTCTCTCACCAGCCGGTTTAGAAAGTCCTGTGCAGAAATGACAAACAAATTACAATGGTGCAAGTTGAAATGTGAAAAGGGACATGTTTTGACTTCAGATAAGACTATACTTCTCATAACTAAAAATTGTTATATTTTAGGACGGATGGAGTTGTTTTTTTAAAAGCTTCCCTATACAATACTTACTTTTATCCGTTCGGCTAGCATGTTATTCATTCCTCACTCTTTGATAACAAAAGATATTTCATTCACATTTGCTTGGCATACTGCCTCCCAATCGATTGTGTCCTTCGCTTTGTCACTTCTTTGTCTGTTCCCATGATTGTGCAGCACTTCTTTTCGTAAATTATCCCAGTCATAATGTTTCATTTTAGTCCGACCCCGCACATTCCTAGCTTTTGGTCTCTTTTCAGTATGTTTGGATTTTCCAATTGAGCCTGAAGCAATTCCTAGGGGAACATCTGAATGAGAGTTCATGTTTCCACACAAGTTTGAAGAGGAATGCTTTTCACATGTTTTTGCTTGAACTCTGATATCGTTGTCCTGCTGCTGGCTGCATTCTGGTTGAGATCTTTCACTATTGATCTGGATTGTTCTTGTAGTGTATGCTTCTTGCAAATTATTGAAACAATCCTGCTGTTCTACATATGGATCTTCAGTTCTGTTACTAGTAAAACTATTGTCATAAAAAGAGTGACCGGTAGAAATGGGCACTTCCTCTGAACTAATAAATTGCTGGAAGAAGCTTTGTTTAACTGTTGCTGAGCATTCAGCTTCCTGTGAAGGCTGAAAGGGGAAAGAAGAATACATGTGCTGACTCAATGACCCATCTCTATTATCATATAAGAAGCTGCCCGATGAATAATCTGTCACTTTGGCTTTGTTTTTGTTGATAGAAGCATCAATTGGATGCTGCTGATAGAGACTAACTTCGGATTGCGCGACATCTGAGATATTCACTCCATGATCAAGTCCTGTACAGATCTGATATGTCGTGTCTAGATCAAACGGTGCGGCCTTGTTCAGATCTGAGGTTGGAAGAACACTGACTTGATGACATCCTGATGATCCAACCTCTTGTGTGAATTTCACCAATGAGCTAGAAGAACCCATTGTATATGTTCCGTTTAGAAGATATTTAGAGAAATTCCGAGGTGAAACCACGGAATTTTGCGAGGAAAGAACACCCTCAAGAGACCCATCATCCACAGTATTGAATGATCCCAAGTCACCTATCTCTTCAACAAAGAAATTACCTTGCAACTTGGCAGATTCACCCAACACTCCAGAACAACTATCTTTCTGTTTAGGAGGTGTAGGAGTAGACTTCTCCACTGCTGCAGGCTTCTCAGGGCCTTCTGACTTGACAGGGAACCTCGCGGCAAGCGCCATGAAAGCAGAACTGAAATTTTTCAAAGAACAAAAGAAAATATAATTGAAACACGAACATGCAAAATTGCATAAAATTAGCCTTATTCCAAATAGGATAGAAGTTCTCATTTCACCTAGAAAGATGGTCTGAAACATTCTGAGTAAGAAAGACGTCCACAACCGAGTCCACAATTGACCCTTTCCATGGTGAAAAACGCCTGTCGCCTAGAATGAAAATTAGAATATCTTCTGAAAAACTAAATGTATTGTTGTACAAGCCAAAAACACCACCCACATGCAATTAGTACAGAAGATTGATTCGCTGTAGTCTGATTGACACACAAACATTGAAAATTGGAGATCGATAGTGTAGAGACACTTTAAAAATTGGCTAAAATACTTTTATGCTAGGGACACTTTTAGCACATTTTGCTAGATTTATCTTGTAGAGGAATTGTACAGGCACTTAAAAATTTGCCGCATATGTAAAGGTACTTCTTTTGGCATTCTAACCTTTGTAGACGTATTTTTTTAGGAGGTTAATATGTACTAAACAACAAGATATCAGCAACATAAGGTTCATATCAAACAAGTAGTCACATGAGGTTAAGATGGTTAGTGCATTGAAGATAAGAATGATTTTCTAAAGAGGTGTTGAGTTCGAGGATTGACACTAGCAAGATCATATATTTCTCTCATTTTTCACAATAGTTTCCTATGTTTTGTTGCACAATTGAATGCCTCTACTTTTTATGGACATAAAAAATGTCGCTACAAAAATGCATCAGGCACAGTGGTTTCCTATGATTGTTGCTCAATTGAATACCTCTAATTTTTATAGATACAAAATATCTCTACAAAAATGCAACAGACACAATGGTTTCCTATGTTTATCGCACAATTGAATGCCTTTAGAAAGTGTCCTGATGCCTCTACTTTTTATAGACATAAAAATGTCTCTACAAAAGTGCCACAAGCACAATGGTTTCCTATGTTTATCGCACAATTGGATGCCTTTGGAAAGTGCCCCTACTTTCTTATAGACATAATTAAAAAAAATGTCTCTACAAAAATGCTGCATGCCACAGAGACATTTATAAAATGCCAACTACATTTCTAGAGACAATTCACTAAAATACACTTATAAGACATTTTTCAAAATGTCTCTACAACATTCCAAAGGCATTAAAAAAATGTATAACTTAGATGATACCACTTATCATGAAAAACCTGATGATATTATTTTTCTTGCAGCTAATCTAAAAATAACATAGGCCAAATATTAAATGTGGGAGTAGAAAATAGAGAAAAGCACAATGTTACAAACATAGTATACCTTGAACCAGATGCATGTGAGCAATAAATGAATCAATCCGTCCTCGGAACATTCTTCTTTCTTCTTCAAGAAGCCTCTCCTTATCTTCATCAATTCCTTCAACACCTTCACACTTATCTAGCGCCATTAATAAGTTCCACATCAAATTGGTGACTGGATCAATTTTCACTTCGGCCCGAGAACCTCTTTTCTTTACCTTTCCCTCTAAGGGAACCAATGCACCAAGATCTTTTGGTGTCTCTTCCACGGTATTGTTTGATGTCATGTTGATGCTTAAGAGCTTCAACTTCTCAATTATGGCTTCTAAATAATCCAAGTGATGATGGTATAATTTCACAACCATCATTTTCTTTCATTGTAGGATCTCTATCTTCTGCCTTCCCATTAGCTTCAGTTGTTTTCCTTACACGACCCCTAGCTTTTGGCTTCTCATCGGGTTCTGCTTGTTTCTTTGGATGGCCCCTAGCTTTTGGCTTCCCAACGGGTTCTACTTCTTTCCTTGGCCGGCTCCAAACTTTTGGCTTCTCGGTGGGGTTAGCTGATGTGGTTTCTCTAGAAGCCTCTAGATGGCAGTTCTTAGTTGTTGCCGGTCGGTTCACTGATTGAAAACTGGACATAACTTCAATAGGTGTTCTTTGGATATGCTCCACAGGAGTATTAATGGAGGGATTTCCATCAGCGACATATTTTGTGGAAGTTTTATGTGTTTGACACAAATCTTGCCCCTTAACCATCTGGTTCTCCAAAGGCTGAGGTTGATGAACACCACTGCTTGGGATATAATCGCGTTGTTCAGATGGCTGGGCTGTGGATGTGGCTGCTGCAGCACTTGCTACTTGCGACACTGTCGCTGTTGGCTGTGCTGCAGATGCAGCCCAAGCCACCGAACAGCTCCAATTCTTATTTATGGATGGGATCATTGTTTCATTGGGCAAATGTGTGTGCCCAGCTGATAAATGTCCAGACCACTCATTGGGTAAACCAAGACACTCACTGGTGTAATGCTGAGTAGGCCTGATTTCTAAAGACTCAAGTTGATGGTCTCCATTCCTGTGCCCAATATTTTCTCCCAGTGAGTTCATGGCACTGTCAGGCGAGTTTGTGTGTTGTGCACATGAACCGATAAAATGTGTGTTGCTAGTGCAGGGCAGAGTAGGGTCAGTGTATTGCCGGGAAGATCTTGATTCCTCAAGGGCCATCGACCTTTGTACATCAGCCAAGGTTGTACACACTCCATGGTTTATTGCCAAAACATTATTTGTATTCCAATTACCAGACAGATTTGCCGATGTGGATGAAACATTTCCAATGAATCCATCCAACCAACTGCTATGATTCTCTGATCTCATCCTCTTGCATGTTTCGGTTAGAAGATACGTTTCCGAGCTGGTGGAGAGGGGGTCACTATAGAACTGCCTTCTGCTATTCGATTGTTCAAGGTATGCATCAAAAGAAACCTGATGATCGGTGATAGTGTCATATCCTCTCTTTTTACCTATTGCATGAACATCTGAGAAGTGAGAATCACAAAGGCCAAAAGAAGCTCCAATCTGGTCATTAGGATTGGTAGCAAACTTTGACTGATCATTTTTTGCAGGAAACTCACTCAAATTTATGTTCGTTGTGTTCCTTTCACTGCATGTGGGAGGTTCACTTGGACTTTGTGGGACTCTGTATCCTTGGGGCATTGGATTGACTACTCTTGTAGAAGCTTCATGGTTGAAATTTCCTACCATCCAGGTTCTTCCAGTATGCCAAGCAGGCACGACTAGATTTTCTGGAACTATATAACCACGAAGCATATGGTCTGGTGTAGGTGATTTTTGTGTGGATGATTGAGGCACACATAAGTAATGATCAAGATCAATTGAGGAGTTTTGCAGTTGTCATGAGGAACTGTTGAGATGAGAGACACTTTCATCTGGAATGTCGTCGTCGTAGAAATGTTGGTACTGGTTTATTTGCTCTCTTGAACCAAATTGGAAATTCTGGCCATAGCTGTTTGTAGGATTAGAAAACCTTCTTGGAATATGATTCACTGCAGAATTGTTAAGGTCAAAAGTTACCCTGTTTGCTCTACTACTCTCTGCCCATATTTGCCGCATATTGGCCATTGGATCAACTGAAGCAAAAATTGGGCTGCCGATGCCACACCAAGGTTGAACTAGTTGGATATTGCTTCCATCGACGGCAGATGTTAACAGCTGAGCATCCCCATAACAAGTAGGTGTCTCCTCCACCCGAGTTTGCGATAACAGATCCACATTTTCTTCATGATGATCTCTCCCATCAAAGTTGAAACATCTTTTGGCTAGAGTTGGTACAACAATAGTGTGTGCAACGGCGTCTTTAGATGGAGGGTGATGCTCTGTTGGTGTAGTATTTTGTTCCTTCCTCCTAACATACTTCCTCTTACCAGCTGGTTTGTCCTTTTCCTTGGGAGGCTCACTAGTTGTAGATTTGTGTGCCTGGGTTGCTTTTCCTTCTTTGATGACCTTTGGCCTGTGCCTTTTCCTCTTAGGTTTTTGAACTGTTGTTTTTCTGGCTTGTGAACTACTAGTAGATACATTTTTAGATGGCACATGTGTGACATTTCTAGTTCCCGTCTCAATGGAAGGGTTCATCCGAGGCAACGTAGAAGAAGTTGAGAAGCATAGGTTGATGCCGTGAGGCTCATGCAACCATTGACCTTCCATATTTCCTTCTGTAGAGGTGCAAGTCTAGATGAAGCACGGTTCTAGTTAGCTTCCCGTCGTTTTCACCTATGACAATATCATAAGGACGCAATTTAGATGGTCATATACTATTCAAAAGATCAATACTAATCACAATATAATGAAAATGGCATAGTAAATTGGTTGCATGCAACTACACTTCTGATTGTGTTTCTCAAAATATTAAAGCAAGAAAAATAGGGTATAATCAAGCAACTACTCTAGAACTAAACCCCAATCCCTCCAACAAAATCCCACCTCTACAAATAAACCCCAGTCTGAGCGAAATTTGTTTCAACTTATATAGTTCAATCTTCTCTCTAAGTGAGGATTCTAAGGAAGCAACAAATGAACCACAACACTTAAAAGGAAATGTAGATTCCCTCACAATAAAAAGTGCACTTGACACTTTAAACTAAATTCCCTTGCAAACCACAACAATAGATTCCCTAGTTTTAAGGAATATCTACTTTAAGTGTGTAGATTGTAGACTTTAAAGTGTAAAGTGGAGTTTAGTTTAAATTAGATTCCCTTGCAAACCACAATAATAAATTCCATAATTTAAGGAATATCCCTTGCAAACCACAACACTAGTTTAAAAGTGTGTAGACATTTCCTTAAAACTAAGTGGACTTGACACTTTTAAGTGGACTTAATCTATATTGACAGTCAGCAAAGATAGGCAAGTGTGTAGACATTTCTTTAAAACTAAGTGGACTTGACACTTTAAGTGGACTTAATCTATATTGACAATCAGCAAAGATAGGCAAGTGTGTAGATGTGTATGCTTTAAACTATACTTTTAGAGTAAAAAATTGTCAAATTGCATCACCAGCTACATACCCCTGATTCTAATTAATCACTGAACAACACTATATATATGTGAGAAGTTCACTTTGAAATTAAGCTTAAGAGAAAACAATTGGAGGTACGCAACCTTTTACATATGTGCTAGCCCCTCAATACTTCCAAAAACATGGGCAAAAGGCATTTTCTTCAAAATTAAGCTTTTAAGGAACAAATTAGTGGTTAACATGTAGTATGGTCCTACTCATTGGTCAATAATGCTATGTAGAGCAAAAGCCTTCTCTTCAAAGCTAGAGTTTTGAGGAAATATCCCATAATATGTGGTATTAATTACATGGCATGGTCCTATTCATCCCTTAGCAAGACCTAGCTAGTGTTCTAAAACTCGGCACTAGACGGCTATTAGGCGATAGGCACATAGTAGCCGTCGTGATTAGGCACTAGACGGCTATTAGGTGATAGGCACATAGTGTATTAGGCGGCTAAGCTATCTTAAGTGTTCTTGTGTTGCTAGTTGGTCTTTTATTGCCTAGTTTTTATGTAATATTCTTGCTATTTTCTTGGATTTGACTAGTTGGTCGTCTAGGTGCCAGGTAGCCACCCGACTAGCGCCTAGTGCCTTCTTGAAGCATAGGTAGATCATAGTCATATGTACAAAGCTTCTTTTCAGAACTAAGCTTTTATGCCAATAGTTTGTAGTCCTTCGAAAGTTGGCATTAACTACTTCCCTAGTATCTACCTCAACAACACACTGTTTGCCTGGTCAAAAAAAAAACAACACACTATTTGTGTAGAAGACATTTTTGTTGCAGTTAGTCTTTTCTAATAAACAAATAGCATTTTAATATCACCACCTACATGCCATGGTCCCACTTGTCGCTCAAGAACACTAGATTCATGTGTAGGGGACTTTGTTTCAAATACAACTTTCGCTAGATACCAATTCAATCACTAACTATTAGTGATATGGGAACTAGGGTTCCCCACACCACGGGCACAGGGCATTTAGGTGCCACATCATCCATTCCCAAGCTCGGGGGGAGGGGGACAGTATCAGTATGTCCCGAGCATGGTTGCCCACCTGATGCCTCAAGAGTGTTTGGGGGACGAACCGCTACTAAAGCATTTAATGCGCTAAAGTGAGGCATGCCATCCCACCTAGTCAATTTCATGTTGCCCCCATTCAGGAAAACTTGACAGATATCTGCCTGCCTAGGCATGCAATGTGGGGGTAGTGGGGGACAAGACTACCCTTACTGCCTTTCCAACGAGGACCAGTGTGGGCTATCAGGCGGTGAAGTTGACTCCGTCAGGCCCATCCGGCCCCACTACTTTTCACCCACTCCACCAAGACGCTGATAAGTGGGTTGTTGGGGCACCGAATGTGGATGACGCCCTGCTAATGACCAAATTTGGTAAGATATGAACCAGGTTTGGCATTGGAATCAAAGTGGATTTGGCAAAGGATTGTGTTCGAATAACAGAGTTTGCATCGGTTGCGGAGGCATCGGCTGAAGTCTGTATCGGCTGAGATGGATCGGACAGAAGACAGCCGATACAGCCGATTTCATTGAGGTGGTTATAAAACTATATCTAGAATCAATCGACGTGCTACGCAAGGATTGCCACGATGGAGATAAGCTCTTAGATAGATGATTGTATCTATTAATTAGGATATTTTAAATAGTTTCCTTAGAAATATGTTTGGGCAAGAGTCTGCCGTAAAGACTTATGTGTATCGTAGAGTTTGTTAGAGATAAGAGTCGTGTCCAGCAAGGACATATCATGTATCCCGGGTATAAATATGACCCGAACCCATGTAAACAACAACAACAACAACAACAGTTCAATAACACTTTCGGCGCATCGCCACCCTTTTACTTTCGTTTATTTCGACGAGTTCTTGCTTTTGGGTTGAGCTACATCGGTTTCGATCTTCAACTAGAGGTAAACTTGTCATGCCGGCTTGTGTTCTCGGGATTAGTGCTTCCATCTTTATGGCACTCTAATCTTGTTTATGTAATTCGTCGAGTTATCATATATTCTTCATAATCTTTATTAGTTGCATCATCTAACCTGCAATCGGCTGGTTTTTACTGCTAGAGAGTAGTCGATAGAGTTAGATTTTGTCATTAATCTAGATTATATAACATATCTACCATCTCTTAGAGGTTTTCATCATCTTGTTTAGATCTTACAGTTATCTTTACGCTTAATGCTGCATCAGTTGAGTTCGATCTATTAATTGTGATATCTAGCTTGTTTTATGATTGCTAATAGAGATAGTATTGGAGTTTCAGCCGATCTCACCTGATTTAGCTATTTTTGTCTTATATGCTTGACTGTTATGCTAGATCTGCCCTTTATATTAAGATTTTATTGCTTTAAAGTATATTAGGCTTTCAGTTTAATATATCATGTATGTTTTGATATCTTAGTATAGAGTGGTATCGGAGTATTAGCCGATACATGCTAGATCTATCTGATCGGCTATGCTATAAACGTTCATATAATCATGATCTTAATTTATCTTTAGACTTAAGTGATTTATACCGTCTCGACATGATGTTCCATCTATCCCAATCACTTAGTTTAAGTATACATCGAGAGAATGATTATATATCGTTGATATCTACAGCCGATCGAGTAGATTTAGTTTTATATTGCTTTATTCTTCATTGCCGATCTAATGCTAATAACATCGGCTCAACGATTGACGATATATCATCGGCTATCATTTATGGATTTTATCTCGGTTTTCTTGTCTTTTATTCTTGTTGATTGCAGGATCAAATCAACTGGCACGCTCACGAACCTAAAAGCAAGATTTTGGACCTGCTCAGGAGTTAAGCAAATCTTCCAGGCCAATGTGTGTTTTTCGCATCAACACGCCCCCACCCATTAAGCTTATCTAACACTAGCAGGCATCATGGGGGACACGTGGCATGCACTCACCCCTCCTCTCCAGCTCCACTCGAGGAAGGACTACCACAACAATAATTACAGGCAAGTTGGAGGCACATGAAACCCAAAGGAGGATGTCTACCAGATAAGTAGATGTAGCCTATGAAATGTACCTTTAGCCCATCTCTTCGGTACAATCATTTTGGTACCACCTGGAGTACATAAGTGGAGGACCAAGACCATGAGAAGGGGTTGGGGGAATTCTAGCTTGAATCTATGCAAAGAATAGCACATAACACACACAGGAGTAGGGTATTACGCCCCCTAGTAGCCCGAACATGTCTAAATTATATGTTCATTTCCTTTCCCATTCCAAGGTAGCTCAAAGTTGTACATTGACTAGCTGACCAAAACATTGGGACCAACCGGCCTGAAGTAATGTAACCCTAGGTTGCCTTCGAAAGTCTTGGGGTGGTCGGCCGGACCACTAATTTGGTTTGGTCTACCACCAAGATGTCGGCCAGCCTCGTCCAACAGCCCGGGCTGACATGCTCAACTCCTATCGACCTAAAGGTGGACAAACAAATCTACAAGTAGGTCGGTCGACCCCATTTCGCATGCCATTTGGCCAAGCCCAACTCACCACCTCCTTTCAACTAACATCACAATAGAATGCAAGGAGCAAAACCGACTTCTAGGAATAATCTCAGTTGTTAGAGAAGCTGACCAACCTAAAGGAGGTGATCACCCAGGTCACCATGTGCCCGCCTGGCCTAGCCTACGACTCGCCCTAATGCACCCTACACGTCATACCGCATTAAATGAAGCTTTTATGCAACAACTGGTAGTATCTGGCACCACCTCGATGTCGTGGTCCTACACATTCGTGTAGGGTGCATTAAATTAAGCTTTTATGCAACAACTGGTAGTATGCGGCACCACCTTGATGTCGTGGTCCTACACATTCCTCAGCAATGCATGACACTTGTGTAGTGATTTTCTCTTTGCAATTAAGTTATAAGGACACAAATTGACAGTTCATGCTCACATACATGCCACCGTTCACTTGTCACTCAATAGAGCTATGTGCGTGCATAGAGGACTTTGCTTGAAAACAAAGCTGCTGTTGCCGTCACAGCTTACAACTTGTCCTACCACGTCTCACACCTCATACCGTGCAGATGGCATTACCTCAAAATGCTTTTGTGCTAGCAGTTGGCAAACGCGGTGCCACCCAAATGCGCCGATTATACTTATCCCTTGGCACCGCAACACCTACATGGAGGTTATTTTTCTTTTAAATGAAGATTTTAAGGGAACACCGATCAATTTTCTTTTAAATGAAGATTTTAAGGGAACACCGATCAATCTATGGCACCCCCTACATGCCATGGTCCGTTTCCTGTTCGACAACACTAAATGTGGGACCAGAGAACTATGCTTCAAAAGAAGGTTTT